GAAGATCGGGATTTTCAAAAACAAAAAAAGCTTCGAGTTTCAGGGTAGCAAATTTCGTAATTGACATTTTTGGAACGTCCGGAAATTTCATTGAAAGTTTACATAATATTTTCCTATTTCTGTTTTTACAGGAAGTCGCCATCACCAAACTTTTTAATGTGCAACTTTTTTGACTGTGTGATACAGTTTTTTTATCTTTCGTGTTTCTAAATAAGCCATGATGTATTTTCTATTTCGAGCTCTTACATTATCCGGGAAATGCTGTAATGTAACTTGGCTGTACTGCAGAAAAAATTATTCAATAACAGTAATAGGCCTTTGATCGTTTGATAAATTGCCTGAACATTTTCTGCGCATATTTTGACCACGTTTTGCGTCCAGCCGTTTAGAATTTCACTATTTAAAAAAATAAATCTGAATTGAGCCCAAACGACTCAAGTCTTCACAAGAAAAATATTTGATTCCTTTATTTCATTCTAGAAAATTATCAGCAATTACCTCGTGACCTCCAGAGGAAGAGTTCACCAGATCAACGTAGAAAAACATGTTTTTTCTCAACTATACTTCATAACGTTCATTACCTATGCTTCCATGTTTATTTTTTTGCCCACGGAACGCGCAATTTATGCCGTGAAAACCAACGCTAAATTTTTTTTCGTTTGGACAAATAGTGCTCGAGGTTTCTCTTTCAAGCTGCAAATAAAATTGTGAGAGAAAAAAGGGCTTCGTCCTTGCAAAACGCATGCATGATGTTGGAACAACTGCTCGGGGGAAACACTGACAATGAAGGTCCAGGGATGGCGTACGGAAGATCAACCAGGAGAAAACGACGCAAGACGTTTAAGCCGGCTTAAGCTGTCGGGGAATGTTGACCACCCCTTTTTTTAACAATGGGGGCCAGCTACCCCCAGAGTTACCAAACTTATACTTCCCGTTGCAGGGTGATTTAAAAAAGAATAGCCCTTTTACTGTTGAACCAGTGAAGTCCCAAAAAAGTATGCGTCGAAAACCCTGAGGTTCAAAAATGCCGCGTCAAAGTCGAGGACACTTTTTCCCCCACTTCTTGAGATTTTAAAACAGACCAACTTTTCAAAAAAGAAGAAAACATGTCATGAACTCCTATTCTATGCATTTTGTGGGATTTCGAATCATTTTTTCGAGCAATGAAGATGTAATCACTTCCATCATGCAGAAGTCGATTTTTCGGAATGCTCTCTTTTCAACAACTGAAACTCAAATAATGTATTCGTTTTGCGGCAATGTTCAGATTTACCTGTTGTATCGTTTTTTTTTGGGGGGACATGAAATAATTTATCTTGTCATACGAACTTCTGAGTTTGAAAGTTCTGACGGAAAAAAATTTCTGTACCTTGCAAGCGTAATTGAAAAAAATCACGATGTATTCACTGAAAAAATAGTCATTATAATGGGATTTATCTGTCATTTGAACCAGTATTTTTAATTCTATGCAGCAGTTTTAATTTCTCTTAAACCCAAAAAATTTGATATGTACTGTATACAGCATAAATGTGCCTGTCTTTGCACGAGTATTCATGCCTTCTACAGTACAATATTACTCAACAAGAAAAAATGAATACAGTTGCTCTCTGCAATATTCATGTAAAAAATATTGCGTAAGCTTTGTGATTCTGGTTCAATTTTTCTTATTTAGCAACATGTTTGACAAGCTTGAACAAAACAGCAAATCGGTCGCTTAATTTTATACTCTGGTACTGGATGCAAATTTCACGCGTTTCTTGTCATTTATAATTTATTTTCTACAAAATAAATGTTATCGAATCATGGTAATTTCTGGGAAACGCAAACCTTTTGCTTGATTTGAGGATCAAAATTGTCCGGATTCCGCAGCAAAAAAAGAAGAATCTTTTGCGGAAATTAGACACTTTTCCCAAGAGAACCCTCTGGAACAGAATTGCCAAGTTGAACTAATATATTATTATCTAATATGTTCATTTACAATGGGTTGTTAGGCAATCCACTGAAAATTGGCACATTGCATATGCATTAATCAAGTCCGAGAAGTGCTTAGGGATGCTGAAAAGTCAGCCTTGAATTTTCACACGCGGAAATTTTCTTCTTTTCTGAACTTAATTTTGGCAAAACTTTCAACAATTTGGGTGGTCTCAGAAATACTGAGACCACCCAATATAATTGCTTTGAACAAGTAGAGGGATAGGGAATTACAAATTTTCAGGTACAGATTGTTGCACGTGTTTAAGAGCACCCAGAAAGCCTCCCAGGGAAAGCTTCAAAAATTCCCCGGATTTTTGAGGCACCTGGAGCGCCGATTTTTACTGAAATATTGTTGGCAAGACTGGCGGTAGACCCCAACCTCAGAAGGGCGCCAGAGAGGATTTTGAAGGCTTAAGCCCTTCTTGCGTCGTTTTCAACCTGCGTGGTTTACCGGGTAAGCCGATTTTTACTGAAATATTGTTGGCAAGACTGGCGGTAGACCCCAACCTCAGAAGGGCGCCAGAGAGGATTTTGAATGCTTAAGCCCTTCTTGCGTCGTTTTCAACCTGCGTGGTTTACCGGGTACCCCAGGGATGCAGCTGACGGGATGATGGGGCTTGGGAATTATGCAAGGATAACAACCACGCGCAAACGCGAACATGACGGGGCACAAATCATCTTCCTGAGGGGGGTTTTCTTCAGCTAGGGACTGACTTCAGCTCTATAACAAGTCCCCATTCTCTGACCAAATTCCATTATTTCCTCCAAGAGTATATACCAACAACAAACAAACAAAACAAAAGTAATTTACAACAGGGAAAGCTGGAATTCACACGGGGCTTCGGTTGTATATACAGTACTGTAAATTACTTCCGAGGAAATGAAGATATATGCGTCATTAAGACGTGCTTTACGGAAAGCTTCCAGCAATGAAAACTCGTTGAAGAAATAAATCTGTCTCAAAGTGCGTCTGCTGGGTCCCAAAACTGATGGCTTCTGAAGCTACTCAAGGGGGCGAATTTACACACGCACTTCTGAATTTAAAGGCTCTTCTTCTTCTGACTTTTTCAACACACTCTCGTCCTTCCTTCTTATTCTCTCTCATANTTTTGGCAAAACTTTCAACAATTTGGGTGGTCTCAGAAATACTGAGACCACCCAATATAATTGCTTTGAACAAGTAGAGGGATAGGGAATTACAAATTTTCAGGTACAGATTGTTGCACGTGTTTAAGAGCACCCAGAAAGCCTCCCAGGGAAAGCTTCAAAAATTCCCCGGATTTTTGAGGCACCTGGAGCGCCGATTTTTACTGAAATATTGTTGGCAAGACTGGCGGTAGACCCCAACCTCAGAAGGGCGCCAGAGAGGATTTTGAAGGCTTAAGCCCTTCTTGCGTCGTTTTCAACCTGCGTGGTTTACCGGGTAACACAACATGAATTCCAAAAACTTTAATCCCTGCTGCTGATGAAATAATCCTTTCTCAAGAATTACTTTCTAAAACGCTCTTTTCAAATTGTTCCTGTATTTGAGTTCGTATTCTTTTCTCGAAACTCCGCGGTTCAGAAAGCCTGATCAGCAAACAAAAAATGCACAAAGAAAATTAAACCAGAGGCATTTCAACATTTCTACTTACAATTTTTTTTAGAGAAAAGCAAATCATCTATGTCGGTTATTCCATTGCCCTGAGTTCAGCAAGACGAGCGGTAAACAAAATTCAAATTTTAATGAAATTAACGCAACCTCAGAAATGATATCCTTTTTACGTTCCGTCAGTCATTAAAAAAAGTGGTCAAACGGAATTTAAAAGACCTGCATACCCAGTAAATGTGTTTAAACCTTAGGATTCCGCTGGAACAAGCACTTATTAGTTTTTAATATTTATATTCCTCCTCGAACGTAAATTAATATCATCAATTTTGTTTTCAAAACTCCATATTGAAGGACATTTTACAAACAAAAAGAATGCTTCCATAAAAATATTACAATGGCGAGAACATTTTTGCCGTGCTGAGGATCATGAATAATTACAACACTGAATACCTCTGATTTCCAGAAAAGGACAAAGGCTGTATTATTCCTTGACAATGGTGTGGCAAGATAAATGAACAAAACAAGTTTTTGTGTCTTGATCAAGGAATTTTGGGGCATGTTTAATGAATTCAATTAAGGTATATTGATTGAAGAAAATTCATTATCTTGTCACATTCAGTGGGTGAGTGTATTTTTGCTATAAGCAGCAGCAAATATGACAAAACTTCTTGAAAATACTCTACATAAGTACATTTAATTCGTGAAGAAAGTCTATTGATCGAATGAGTTTCCATTCCATATGCTTTGTGACCACAGCTGAGACCAAAATCAGTATAAACAAATCAAGTTCACCTTATTTTCCATTTTCGTCCAATATTTGCACATTTACAGAGCGTCACACTTGTCAAACATTCAAGCATTCCAAAACAAAATTGTATACATATACTCGCACTTGTTTTTTTTTCTTCTTTCGAGCTTACACGTATAGAAAACAACGGTTCACGAGAGTTTTCTTTCCGTTTTCGCCTGAACTTCATTCATTGCAAATTTCACAGAGATGAAAGTCTCTGAATATTTTTGCAAGGTCCTTACTTATGTCGTTGAATATTGCTCTACAGGTAAGAAAAAAGAAACAAGGAACGCATCTTTAGCTCGAGTTCAACTTAAAGTCCTTCTCTCAATCAAAAATACAGTGGCAGAGGAGTGTCCGTAAGTCGAGTGAGTCTCAGTAGTAGGTTTCCTTCTCCACCCATCCACCGGGATACTTTTTCATTGCATATCGTCGACCCTCGTCGTAAATGAAAATTAGCAGAGCAAATGGCATTGCAGGCAACCACCATGTCCATCTATGAACAGGAAAAGCAAATGACAATAAGCATTAAAGATGGTGAACCCTTGGGAAATAAACTGGATTGTGAAAATTTGAAGGGTTGACTAATTTTGTTTGTATACAGTGGACCCTTGGTTGAGAAGATTTGGTTTCCACTATGAAGAAAAATCCAACAGTTAACAAATCGAAATTCGGTTAACAAACCTTTTATCATGATAAAAATCACGAATTTTAGAATCCAAAACTTTGTTTCGAGGCTGAGGTGTTTGTTACAATTCAAGTGCGAATAATGCATCTAAGCGTATCTCAAATTCCATGGGAAGTAACTGGTGGCAGTCTTGCCTTTCAAACAAACAAAAAAGACTTATTGTGCGCTGGAAAAAGTTATTCAACAGTTTCCAAAGGGGCCATTTCTTGAAAACTGTAGATATTCAAGTGTTTTTCTGTTCAACCCTCAAGTGTTTGCCTCGTTTATGCAAGTAATTATATCTGATTCACAATTCAAAGCCTAATTGAGCCTTAGAAAATATGCTTGCTTTTTGTAGTTTTTGTTTTTGCAACTGAGGCATATTTTTAATTGAACTTGAACTGAAAACATACTGGATCCAAGAAAAAAAATTAGGTAGCCGGTTTAGGTTTATTATAAAAATAACATTTCGAGGTTCATCCTTCAATCTCATTTCATAAAATTATTTGAAACATCAGGCTCATTTCTAGAAATCTCTCAAGATTCCTGCCCTAAAAATTTACTTTAAGGGAGTACTAAAAGTTATTTTAGTACTTCTTCTAAAGGACCAGTTCCAAACGTACATTACATGGCCCTCCATCTGTATTTTCTTCAACCTTCACAAAGATAAATAGCTGTAATGCAGAACAAAAGGCTGATCTCACCTCAAAGGATACATTTTCAGAGCCTTGTCCATTCCAGGAGTGTAGGACAGGAAACAGGCCAAAGCAGTTTCAAAGACAAGTCCAAAGTTCAAAACCCAATTTCTGAAAAAAACGAGAATTATGTACAGTACTTGCAAACTATAGTTTTGCCAGTCAAGTACTGTATATAAAAATGGGTAACTGGGGTTTCTCTGATAAATCCAGATTTTTAATGAGCAATGCAATAAATAATTTCAATGCTGTATTTAATCTGGAAAGGTGAATGGGGGAAAGTCTGAATATTGCACTCTGGACATGAAAAAATATTTTTTTTATCATTTTGAATCAATAAAATTAGATCTTAAACAATCCCAAAATGTTGAGAACCAAGTCTTTGGTGTGGTTTTTGGCAATTTTCCTACATTTTCAGAAAAGAAAACTTCTGTTAACTACTCCATTGTAAGTCCTTTGTTGAGTGCAATGGTTATGTACAGTGAGAGAAAACTTCATAAAAATACAACTGAGGTAGGGAGAGATATAAATGTGATTTGGAATGCATACAACCTATGATTTTAGACTCGTCCACGACTACATGTGGAAGGGTGAACATTTTATGAGGTTACCTGCCAAACTCCTTTATCATTTCCTGGGTGGGTACTTTAACCCACCCAACAACTGGTAACTTGAGAAAGAGAATGAGTAACAGAATGAAACAAATTATATCTTTAGCATGCCTGCAACTTTCAGCCCCTTGTATGACATGTTTGGAGAACTCTGGCTTTAAATGGCATGTAACTACTTATCATCTTTCCATAAATTGAGAATTTTTTTAAAAATCCGAAAAAAAATGCCAGAACCTTGGAAACATTATGGGCTATGTAATAAATTTTTGGCTCATTCCCATCTGCTCTGAAAATACCAGAGGTCGGATCCAACTGAAACAACCCTCGTACATAGAATGTGAATACCAATAACCCTCTTCCTGGAATAACGTATTACAGTACTGCACTTCCCAGTACACTACAGTACCGACAAAAATAAGCGAACGATTTGAAAATGGGTCTCACGTCATGCCCTGTTCGAAGATTGAATTCCGGCGCGTCTTGGAGATGATGAGGTCAGCCCATTGAGTGACGACGATTGACACAAAGAAGGCGGTGTGACAAGTGGACTCGAGTATTTTGCGGTCATGAAAGGTCCATTCCTGGCCGAAAGAGTCCTCGAGGTCGTTGATGTACGGGTTGTCCCACTGGGCCCGGAGGCCAAGGAGCCTCCGGGGCAGGAACCCGTTCTCACCCATCACCACGAAGTAGGTGAGGAATGCGCCGAAGGTTTCAATGAGTCCCACTTGCGCATAGGCCATCAATACAAGCCTTTTTCCATTCAACATGAGACATTTATAAAAAGAAAAGTCAATAACTATACAAGACCATGATTTAGTAAAAAAAATTAGTAATGCATAGGGAACAATCATAAAACGATTTGTACAACCTTTTCCCCCAAACATTTACTCCGGTGTAATAAATACTTCCCCAAATTTTGAAAAATTGAGTTTTATGCTTTTCAAATTAAGCGCATTTCAGCTAATTCACTGAAATCTTACAATAAAAACCATTAAAACCAATTTTTCAGTATAACAAACTTTTTTCCAAGTCCCATCAGAAATCCTGGAATCCTATAGAGCAACTGTTCCTCAACCTTTTTGGGTCTGCAGACTGGCAAATTTCCATAAAATTGTCCACAGACTGGCAATTTCCCAACAAAATTTATTCACACTGGCAAAGTTTCATAAAATTGTTACAGACTTGAAAGAATGCTGATTAATAGAGTTTAAGGCAAGCAAAAAAAAGTTTCTGCTTCTTGCAAACATGGCGTTAAACACTTACAAAGCATCTATAGCTGAATGCCATCAATAACTTAGAACAGTGGGCTTTGCAAAATTAAAAAAAAATATTTCAGCAGGTGAAAATGTTTTTGAATGTGTTATTAGGAGAAAAGCCAACTTTTATGGTTTATCAAATGATTTCACTACCAGTGTCTTTTCAAAGTTTAGATAATGATAACAGAGTTCATTCCTAATTTAAATGTATGTATTACGCTGAAAATTTATCATGGACCATCCAAAAACTTCTACAGACTGGCACAGGTCCACAGACCATGGTTTGGGAACACTGCTATAGAGTACTTGTCATAAACATAACATTAAAACAAACTTTCAAATCACAGTAAAACCAAATTCTTTGAGGAATATTTTTTTGATTTCTTCATGACAAAATCTCGAATAAAGGCAGGTTCAGTCTCCAATTTCCCAGTCCAAATGTGACTGTGACTGGTTGTTATGTTCTAATTGGGAGGTGGAATCAAGGACAACAATTCTTCAAAATTCACCTATACATCCTCTCTTTGGAAGCAATTTTCCAGGGCTGGGAAAGATGAGTGATGAGTGCATGATTGGTCAGGTAAAAAAAAGTAACCCAGCAAAACTCACATTAAAACGGGTTTTGTATGCTTTAGAAATCCTATACTGATGCAAGCCTTTCTTGGAACATCCACCATTACAAATTTGTGTAGGAATTGCTTCACAAAACTTGAAGTCCACAAAAAGTGATGGAGTTTACCTGTTGATTATTCTGAGTAAATGCTTGTTATAAGTTATATATTGATATATTTTTGAGGATCACAATTTTCAAGCATTGGAAAACATCTGAAAAGGCCACAAAAGGAGGATGTTCAATATGTGCAGGTTTAATTTTAAAAGCACTCTCAGTTGATGATTTTGAAAATCTCATAACAAATAATTTGTGATAACAAACTTTTTCTGAAGTCCCCAAAAATTTTTTTGAAATGAGAGTTTACTGGAATTAATGTGGAAACAGCGCCTGTCCCAAGAAAACTTCTAAACTGAATTTCATCAAATTGCCACTATAGAGGAGTTTTCTTCAATTTTTTTGCAAACCGCTGATGAGAAGTCCAGAAAGATGAAGAACAACTTGGCTAGTCAGTTTAAACCAAAATAAATAAATAAATTAATTAAATAGAAACTCTGAATCAAAGAGGCACAAGTGCACTGTGTACAGAAGTCTTTTGTGTGCAATATGTACCGTACCGTACAGTAAAGTTCAGTACTCACCTCTCATTGACAAGCTTGTCCTTGACTGGGTCCCTGGGTGGGCGCTGCATGATGTCCGACTCGGGCTTCTCGTAGGCCAGCGAAATGGCGGGCACGAGGTCAGTGCCCAGGTCAATGCACAAGATGGCGATGGTGCCCAGGGGCAGCGGCAAGTCGGCCAAGATGAACAGCAAAAAGGGCACCAATTCGGGCACGTTTGATCGAAGCACGTAGGCGATGGACTTTTTGAAATTGTCAAAGATGACCCGACCTTCTTCGATCCCGGTCACGATGGACGCGAAGTTGTCGTCCAGCAGGATCATGTCTGCTGCTTGCTTGGCCACGTCTGACCCTGCCACTCCCATGGCAATGCCTATTATATTTAAAAAAAAAAGAGAGATAATTTCAATGCAAAATCAACAAACGTAATGCTAAGAAGGTGTTAATTTCAATCAAGTAGGATGAGAAAAAATAAAACCAGGCAGAAACTTGGCATAGTCCAATTAACACAGTCAGGGTGGAAAACAGGAAGAAACAGAAAAGATACCGTTTGGTACAACATCAATTTCAATTGACCTTTGTTCAACTTACTCTCGAAATGGATTTGGTTCTTGGCTTATCAAGCAAAAATCAAAAAAACTATACAGTACGTAAGTATGTTGCTGGAATCAGGACTGAAGTTGAAATTTTAAGAGCTAATGAAATATTTAAACTATTTTGTCTCACCAAGTCTTGAATACGTGCTCCACTCTCATTTTTTGCAACAGTGGGACACCCCTACTTACAGGCGCCCTAAAACAATGTTGGAAAAAATAGTAGAGTGGCACCAAAATGGACATTTTCTTGATCCATTTAGCCTGTCCTATTCTCCAAAACAATTTCTAAGTGCCTGTTGACAAAATTCAAGTTTGGGTCCCAGGCTCAGCAATGACATTCCTGAAAGAAAAATCTTCTTCCTTCAAATGTTCCTTCATAATTTAATCCTTGAAAGCCTTCCTGGTTTCCTTCTCTTGACCATTTTTGTCACTTGTGGTTGTGATTTTGAGGTGAGCAGATTTCCAAAGAAAAGCCAAGCAAATAATTTTCTGTGTTTTTGATGTGAAGTATAATATCCCTTATAGCCTTATCTTTTTGTGAAAGCTTAAACTCTTTCCAAGTCTTGAGCTCAACTTTTTCTGTTACGCACAAAAACAGTTGAAAACAAGTTTTATTCAATTTTTCCGGAGACTGCATTCCGAAACATGCAAGAGCAAGAGAACCAATTCAATATGTTCCTCTGGAAATTCATGGGGAAACATGTTGAAAAATATGGATGCCCTGACACACGGCTAAGGTCCAGAAGCACTGATTATGTCTGCATCTCAGGGCCACATGTGCCTCAATTTTATCTTCCAATCACAATATATTTTGTAAAAATAAATTTAAATTCTTAGGACCATCATCATCCTTTCAGCTTCTACAATTTTCCCTATAAGCAATCTTTCATTCACTGAAGGAAATGGAGAGAAAAATCAGCAAAAACAGAAATTTCTTCAACATACAGTACAGTATTTGCAATGATAATAAACACAACTCACCAAAAAGAGATAAGAGACACATGCTCATGTGATTCAGAGCAGAAAAAAGGAAACATTGCAGGGAAGAAAGTTGATAATACGTTCAACCATGCGTCCAAATACAGGTGGTATACCTTGCGATTTGACCCTAATATGTTGCTGGACTAGGGTCAAATTGTAAAGCAATCATATTGCAAGACACTTACTGAAATTTGATAATATCAGTTTTACAATGCAAGAAGTGGCCAAATCAGGTTGAATTGCAAGACAAGGGTTGAATTGCAAGACAAGGTTTGAATTGCAAGGCAAGGGTTGAATTGCGAGTCAATATCCCTGCAAATTTGACAGTGAACTTGCAGGAAGGTTGAATTGTGGGAGGTCAAATTGCAAGGTACCACCTTTATTGAGAAATACTATAGAGTACAGTACTGTACAGTATTTAAATCTGGGTGACAGCTGGAGGCAGACATTTGCAATTCAGTGCAAACATGAATGCTCTGACATTTGATTTTTTCTCCCAAGCTTTTTTAAAATTCAAGTTTGCCAAATTTCTGGCGTATTATTGTCTCATCTGGGATTTTTTTTTCTGTGTTGAGCAGAAATTTTCTTTTTGTTTCCAACAAAAACATGTTAAATGAAAGGGTTTTTTTTGTTTTTCGACTGGGTATGGACGCCATCTTCAACAATGAAGTCAACTGTAAGCGGTTACCAATGTCAGCCTTTTTCAGAGCGGGCGAGTCGTTGACGCCGTCGCCGGTGACCGCCACAACGGCGCCCAATCGCTGGCAACTCTCCACAATGATGAGCTTCTGCTGCGGGGTCGTGCGGGCAAAGACCATTTCCGGATGCCTGAGCAAGATGGCGTCCAGCTCGTCCGGCGACAGGCGGGCCAGCTCTTCGCCGTGCACCACGCACGCGCGGGCCAGCTCCGGCGCCACGGCGTCCACCGGCACCTTGGTCCGAGCCGCCACTTCCTCGATCGTCTCGCTTCCTGGGGACACAGACACTCACGCAATGAAATCACAAATTTCAGTCTATATGAGGAACAGAATTCGGAAAATTCGCATAAATTAAAACTCATCACAGCAATGAAGGCGTTCTTCGCCAAAAGACCCCTCCAAGAAAAATTCTATGACGTGGGCCTAGTCGAAATGGGTCTGCGAAAGTTTATGGAATAAATATAAGAATGGCACAGGAATGAGCTGAAAAACAATTATTGTTCCAGAAAACATTTTTGTCACAAAATGCCGCCACTTTGGATGAGAATGTGGCGGATATCAATGAAAATGGCGGAATATCACCATGGAAAATCAGAGGCGGCAGACAAACCCTTGGAATTATTGGATTTCAATGCTGAGATCAAGAATTCTGAAGAAAAAACTGGGTAACACCACAACATCTGCAATTAGAGGTCTTTTTCATGCCAAAAGATCACATTTCGTCTGGTTTTCTTCAGCAGAACTATTTTATGTACCATTAAGTTGAGAAAAAACTGTATTCCATTTGTTGGTGGACTCCAATCCTAATTTTTGATGAAATTGAGAAAAATTGAATTAGTTCTCATCATTGAAGTCTATAACAAGTATGGTGATGGATGATCAGACATTTTGAATTTGGGACAAGGTCCAAGCTTCAATTACAGCCTCATCTTGATCAAGACAAGAAACATTTTGAATTACAGTCAACCCCCCACACAACAGACCTTCCACATGATAGATTCTTGCAGAACAGACTGCCTCTAGAGGCAGTTTTTCCTCTTTCATAACAGACAAATTTGCATGACAGACTTCATTCAGTAGAAATTCACACCAAAAGCAGACATGAGTCTCTCAAGTCCACCCTTGCATCCCAACATAATTTGAATATAAAATGTTAGTATCATTGTTATGAATGTGTGCGTCTTGTGTTTTTCAGTTCATTTGGTTGCAATCTTGCTTGTTTTGCATAACTGTAAACCTATAGAGAAAAAAATTTGCATAACAGACTTTTCACATAACAGACTATGGTAGTGTATACAGGTGGTACCTCATAATTTGGCACTAATCCATTGCCAAACTAAGGTCAAATTGTGTAACACTGTGAAAGTAAAAAATATCAGTAAAAAACAAACACACAAAATTGCCCAAAGCAGGTCAAATTGAAGGGAAAGGGTTGAATTGCAAATCAACCTCTCAGCAAATTTGACCATTGAATTGCTGGATGGTCAAATTGCAGGAGGTTAAATTGCTAGGTACCACCTGTAGTCAGTTGAACAAATTAGGTCTTGGGGTCAACTGTATATTCATCCCTATTCATTATTATCATCATCATCAGCATTTGCTATTGGTATATGCTGCAATGACACTCACCTGGAGAAATAATGCCAACAGACTCTGCAATGGCCTTGGCAGTGATTGGGTGATCGCCAGTGATCATAATCACTTTGATGCCTGCTGTACGGCATTTGGACACGGCATCCGGAACACTGGCACGGGGCGGGTCAATGAGAGACAGGAACCCGACGAACCGCAACCCGTCCAGCGGGAAGTTCTCCTCCTCTGCGTTGAAATCGAAGTACTCTGGGTACTCATCGCGTGGCAGCAGTTTGTCACAGAAACCTGTAATTTACAAGAGGGATAATTATCCCAGTCGTATTGCTGGATACATAATAGTACAAGTTGAATACAGTCCTGAACTCAAAATTCCCTATGTCAAAATTTTCAAGTCCCGGTCTGAATTTTTTTTATGGATTAAAACTCTCCACAAATGTATGAATTTTCATATTGAACCTCCATGACAAAAATTTTGCTTGGGCCTTTTCGTTAGTACAGTACTGTATTACATTGACACAGGAAAAAAAGCGAAAAACACTAAAAAAAATTCCACTTAAAGTTTTCTAAAAGCTGGAAGAAGTGCGTAACTAAATTCGAAAAATGAAACTTCGCTCCCAAGTTTAGCACTCTGTCAAATAATTCACAAAGAAATATATTCAATAAAGCTACAAATACTGTATCACCAATTACAATTTTTTTATTGCTTGTTCCCCTATATAACTGAAAACTTCCCTAACTCAATTTTTTTTCTTTGCTGGTCATCCCATGAAGTCAAAACTGCAAAGGTTTGAATAGATTAGTTTTAGAAATGAAATGTGACAATGGTGGAATTTTCAGGTCAGAAAACCGGGGACAAGAAAATGCATATCCAAATCATTTTTCGTTGAAACGTTCGCTGCCGGAAACATTCTTAGATATCGAATTGAAGACCATGAAAATCCTTTCGAGCCAGCTCCGCAAAAGTTGTCAAAGTAACGCATACTTTCAATTTAAGCCCGACGATAAGTTACGAACCCCGAATCGAACCACCTTGATTATGCGGGTCAAGATCAAGCTTCAGACGACATCTACGCAATATTGACTAAAATCGAGAAGGAAAAATCTAGACAGATGTGTTAGGAGTATCGGAGGGGGGCGCTGGAGATGTACAAGCGACACCTGGTTAAAGTCAACAAAAACTACGACGCGCGGTTTCCCGTTTCTTTCTCACCGAGGACGCGCTCCCCCAAGGAGCCCAGGGTCATGTATGCCTGCTCAAATGCCTCCTTGTGCCGATCATCGATTTCTTCCTCTTGTCCGTTCATGAGGATGGTTGAGCAGCGAGCAAAAACACGTTCAGGTGCCCCCTTCATCGCTAGCAGGTGTTGAGAGAATAGGTGATGCGTTGATCCGCCATGCTGTTCATCATGAACGATGCTGTTGAGTTCGTGGATGCTCAGTTGGAACTTGTCAGTGGAATTGAACGGGATCTCGAAGACCTTCCTGTGTCGACTGCGATACGCAGAAGTGTTGCCCATCGTGAGCTCTGTGAATTTCAAAATGGCGGCCTCGGATGCGTCTCCGTCCACTTCCCTATGATGTGCGAAATAAAAAAAAACCAAAACACCATGAATACTTTAATCTGGTAAATTTGCTGGTTAGCACTTGAATTACTCTGGTTCGGACACCCACGGCAGCTTGCCTTCACAGATATCGAACCCCCGCCCCCATGCTTGCCGCCCCTCCCCTTGCCAACCAGAGGACTCCCAAAACACATTGAGACCCCTTGATTGGTGAATAAAGAGTGTCCCAAAGTTGAATTCTCCCAAAGTCAAGTCTTGTTTTCCCATAGACTTACATTATATAATTATTAATTGGTGTTTCATGGCAAAAATATTCTTCAGAATTACATGACAAAAATTGTTTGCCACTTAAATTTGATTCAGTGAATATATTTTCAACCCTATAAGAACATAAGGAGCATTGAATATAGTGTACCTCTGTGCAGTTCATTGAACTGTTGGCATCTGTTAAAATAACATCCAAGTCACAAAGAGAGAAGGAAGTCCCTCTATGCAATAGGTCATTTTTTCAATTAGCTGAATGGATGGGAATATGATGGGAGAAATTACAAATAATTTTTCTGGCATGAATCTGTGGAAATATTTGTTTCTCGCAATCAAGCCTGATAAAAGTCAATTTCCTTAAAATTTATTGGCAATTTTATCATGCAATGTCCTTGTGTTGAGTCAGTGTCCTTATGTTGGGGCCTTCTTTCATGCCCTTTTTATTGAAAAATAAATGTCCACTATGAATTGAATTGTCCACATGTCAAGGTGTCTGCATGTGGGGGTCTCACTGTGTAATGCAGACCCTGTCACCCAGTCTTTCTTCTTGCTAGTATACACAGTCTTTCCTCTGATTCATTTTTCTAAGGAATTCAAGCGACATTAATTTACAGGCTACAGGACTGTGATCATATTCATCAGCACTCACCGTTGATGAATGGACGTGCGATGGCGGCTATTGGCCCTGAACTCGGCTCGGTTGCACAGCGCCGCCACTCGGGACAGGGCGTGCCAAGCTGGGTGGCTGCGGTCGAATTGGTCGCCGCTCTGGTCCTCGGTGGTGTCGGCGGCCACGATTTGACCATTGAACCACATGTGGGCCACCGTCATTTTGTTTTGGGTCAGAGTGCCGGTCTTGTCAGAGCAGATGACTGAGGTGGAGCCCAGGGTTTCCACAGCCTCCAGGTTCTTCACCAGGCAGTTCTTGGACGCCATGCGCTTTGCTGTCAGGGCCAGACACACCTGATGATGCCAAAGTATCAGCAACGTAGTGTACTACAGTATTCACACAAATTCCACACACACACACACATACACACACACACTGAAGTAAGATATCCAACCTAATTTTTCTTGTTGAAATTTTGATTGTCCCCAAGAGTGCAGTTGATGATGTGCACATCATTCTTAGTGATTGACATCTGCACTATTTCAGAAACAGGAGAAATGTTAATCCAACTTTGAACATAAAATCAACCTGAAGTCAATCAGTTTGGAATTATATGGTGTTTTTGGATTTAGTTCTTTCTGATGCATGTCAAATTGAACACGGTATCAAAATTAAAGCCAAGGAGGTTTTGAGTTGCAGAAATTGAAAAAAAAAATGGAAAAGTTAAATGATGGTAAATTGGTGATCTTTTGGTCCTTAATCTAGGTGAATTGTTTTACAGAATGCTGAACTTCAGCAGAAGGTTAACATGTCTTAATTTATTAATGGTATGAAATTTTCCTGTTCAGCAGCATCAAATCAGATCTTGAATTCTTCAAAAATGCCCAAAAGGCATAACTAAATTTGAGTCTTCCCAGTTTGAGAAAAAAAGTCTGTTCTGGGGGTTTGGATTAGATTGATCTAAATAAGGGGATTCAAAAAGGAGCTGAGGACAAATTCAACATGAACAAATGTTTACGCAAAAATAGGTTCAATAAAGCAAGGTTCGAATGAAACATTGAAGATATCAGGAAATTTTCAGGAAACCTGATGGTTTCAAAAAAATTTTTTACGGAACCAAAATATTTGCGTGAAACAATTGAATCTTACTTTGAAACAAGTGAACGTTTGTAGATCAATTAATGCTTTTTTTTTAAAGAAAACTATACTCCAAATTGTAACTAGTGTCTCAAACTTCGCATTGCCACAGTATACTGTACATACAAATGTTTCAATTGAAAATCCTTTTTTAATACTTCTATGTTTTGTTGTAAGACTTGTAACAAATAATTCATCATATTTAAAAACATTTTTACTGCTGGAAATTTTTTCAAAGTTAAATGTGGAAATATTCAGGATCTTTCATTTGTGATATTTTCAGATGCTTTTCCAAGTTTCAAAAACTGATCTTCAAAAATAAATTCAAATGGCAAGGCAAATTTTTACTCTGAACAACAGGTGAACACTAGCACTTTTTGCTAACTTGAGTGTTGTTCCTAACAATTCCTACACATTCATGATCATAAGAGATGTTCCTAAGAAGCTTGGTTTCTAAGCATCAGTAGGGTTTCACAAGCATCCAAAACCCGTTTTCACATCACGTTTTTGCATTCATATTTTTCCTTTAAACCCCCACCCTCCCTATTATTCCTAACCCAGAAAAAATGTCAGAAGAGATGGTATTCAGGTGTATTTACCACGTTTTTATGAACTCACTTTCTTGAATGAATGAATGAATGAATGAACAGAGCACCTTATTTGCCACTTTTCAGCATTCACAAGGCACAACCAATACTCCCGCATCCAAACCCCCTCCAACCACATATAAGGTTATTTTTTGCTTTTTGAAAACGTGGTTTTTTAGATTATTTCTTTAATCTACTATAATTATTTATAACATGTACCCTATAGGATTATCAGCCGTGACTCATGAAACAGTTTGTTAAACTAAAAAAAAATTGTGTTAATGGCAATTCTTGTGACAAGATTATACTACAGGTGAACCTGGATAACTGAAACCTCCCTAAGTCAAATACCCCCCAAAGTCAAATTTTTTTCCAGGTCCTATTTGAATCTCTTTAGAACCAATAGATTAAAAACATTTCTAAGTCAAAAGCTTTTCCTCGCAAACCTCCATAAGTTGAATTTTCTGTGGCCTGTTAACCATTATTTTCTTGAAAGAAGAAAGAAAAAAAACCCCATACATTTATGTGTTTTGAAAGACTCAATTGGGCAAATGAACCCCTGACTTTCAGCAGCCTTTTAACCCATTCAGGAGGCCATTTAAGCCCCAGAATATTACCATTTAAATTTTTTTAGGTTTTCCAGAAAAAGGGGCTTTCTGTATTGTAGTTCCAACCTCCCTAAGTCAAAACCTCTATAAGTCAAAACCTCTCAAAGTGAAATTTTTTTGCAGGTCCCTTGAAATTTAACTTAAGAGAGGTTTGACTGTATTATACATATGCCTTCCACGTCAATTAAACCCCAGGAACCCTATTCTTACTGTAACAGTGGGCAAGATTCCCTCTGGAACATTGGCCACAATGGTGCCGATGAGAAAAATGAGTGCGTCCAGCCAACTGTAGCCCAGTAGGATGGCAATGACGAAAAACGACACGCCGAAGAAGACGGCAACCACAGTGATGATGAAGATGAAGTGCATGAGCTCGACGGCAATCGGGGTTGGGCCAGTGTCGATCCCCGACGCTAACCCAGCAATGCGGCCCATGAATGTCTCGTCGCCCACCTGCACCACGAGTCCTTTGCACGTCCCTGTGTCGATGATTAAATCACAAAAAAAAATAATAATAATTACTGTAGCCACAAAGAAGCATCGATACGATTACGTACAGTATTGTTCATTATTTTATTCCGGAGTTTACGTAAATTTAATTTTTAAATTTTCACTGGAAACGATGAAAGTCGGCATGATTGCTAAAACTGCAGTACTGTATTCGCGAAATTTTTTTCTGCGGTTCCACTGCCATTCTAGAAAAAGATTGATTTTTTATCAATTAGAGTATTGTACAGTATTATTGTCAGGAACTAAAGATGAAGTGATAGACAAGAAGATGGCAGGCAGGGAGCACATCTAAAATCATGCGGTACGCATAACCACGCCACGCCTTGCAGGTCTTTCCTTGGATGGGCAGTCCCCCATACGATTGCTGAAAAAGGTTTACAGTAAAATTACTCAAAAATATGTTCTTCTCTGTTCAATCACTGTAATAAATTGTTTTTCAGTTATCAGACTTTGCAGGGGTTAGTTCAAGTTAGATTAGGCCAGGTTATCTTATTTAAAGAATATCTTCCAACTTATATAGCTGCCCCCAAAGTCTGATGATTTTCTTGAAGCTTCGAAGTATACCTAGGTTAAATCTGACCTAACCTAACCTAACCTAATTTAACCTAACCTAATTTAACATAACCTCATTTAACCTAACCTAATTTAACCTAACCTAATTTAACCTAACTTAATTTAACCTAACTTAATTTAACCTAACTTAATTTAACCTAACCTAATTTAACCCAACCTAATTTAACCTAACCTAATTTAAGCTAACTTAATTTAACTTAATTTAACTTAATTTAACCTAATCTAACCTAACCTAACCTGATTTAAACTAACCTTACCAAACTTAATTCAACCTCACCTAACTTAATTCAACCTCACCTAACTTAATTTAACCTAACCTAACCTTATTCAACCTAACCTAAATTAACTCAAGTTAACCCAACCTAAACTATCTTAATTTAGCCTAACCTAAACTAACTTAATTTAACTTAACTTAACTTAACATAGCTGCTCCCAAAGTCTGATGATTTTTTGAACGGTTTACTTCCAGTGAATTAACAGAGGAAAACAACAGATTACATGAATTTACTGGAAATGCTTTTCGGCATTTTTTCTGAGGGAATGTTCATCCAAGGAAATACACTGGCGAGTTGCGGCGTCGTCATGCGTCCCAGTGTGATTTGACCCTTTCCCCGGACGATGGGCGACATTGAAGAAAAGAAAATGAGGGACATCCACGCAACCACATCAGAGTTATTTTTACATCACTGTACAGTACTGTTTTATGCTGTAGTCACTGATGCACAGCTGACCTTCGACTGCGTAGGTGGAGAAGAAGGCGAGATTGTTGGCCTCCAAGGGGTTCTCGTGGGTGCAGTGCGGGTACCGAGCCTGGGGTTCCGACTCCCCAGTCAAGGACGAGTTGTCCACCTTGAAGTTGTCGGCCTTGATGACCCGCAGGTCGGCTGGAACCCGTCCCCCGTACTGCACTTCCACCACGTCCCCACGGACAAGTTCTTCCACTCGCAGTACGGTCTTCTCCCCGTCCCGGTACACTGTTGCATACTACAGCCAGTCCCAAAAAAGTAAAAAAAAAAAAAAAAGAGAATCACATTACAACTGTCTTACCGAGTTGCAGTACTGTACAGTGGGTCCTGTGGGAACAAACACCGCTATCAGCGAACATTTTACAAAACGTACCCGCAGGCGGCCGCCATATTGCCTTAGGCAGGACGAATTTGAATGTAGACTTGTTTTTAAATACAGTTGGCAAATTTTCAAAATGTCCAATGATCTCTATTTTAGATTTAATACTCATGAGAGGATTCCGCCTGAACTTCTAAGGCAGTTTCAACTTGAAGTATGCAGTGGCCCCCTGCTGCCTAACAGTCCTCCCGCATAAGAGATTTTTGCCTATAACAGACCAGCTCTGCAGGCAGTTTTTCCTCCCACACAACAGACAAAATCCATCAAACAGACTTCTGTTGGTTCAAAATTAGCATTGACAATTGAAAGTTTCAATTTTTTATATGATTAAATTTGTTTAAAGGACATTTTGTCTAACAGACTTGTCCATTGCACAAATTAAGTCCATTTGACAGGGGTTGACTATACTTCAATGCCTTTTCTGCTCTCAGCAGTTAACCTGCCAGAAATTAATTTTAGTTTAAATTATCTTGGCTGCTCTATTAATTTTTTTATTACTCATTTGCAAAAACTTTTTTCTTATTTTACTGTAGGACTCAATTTTGCATGTAAAAAATTACAGCAATTGGTTACACAATGAGAAAGCCAGACTTGAACCACAAACATTTTGAACAATGAACCAGCTGCTGGAATGAACTAGGTTTGTACTTGCGCAAGGCCCTACTCTATTTTTGTTGTCTAGTACTGTACAAAACTTTCTATTTTTTTAGGGAATGGTCCCAGTTGAAACAAAATTGTTTCCCCAAGAATCGGTCCTGTACTTGAATTATACAAGAGAGGTTTTCAAAGAACTAAGTCAATCATCCATAAGATTGACTTCATTCATAATTCAAAAGAGAGGTTATAGATACTCTAAAATGGAACTGATGAATTTCCAATCGAAATATGTCACATTGTGTATTTTTATGACTAAGAACATCTTTTCAAAAATAGAATAATTCTATAATATTGTGCTGTACTTTGGTTGGTGTCAGGAATAAAATACAGAGGGAAGAAATTCCTTTGAGGAAAATCCGAATGACTCAATTCATTGAACAGATGAAATTTTCTAAAGTATATATATTCCATGAAAAAAGATACACTGTATATACAAAATTTCACACCCTATGATCAAAATATAAACGGGAAATTTTAGTGGCGGTTGCTGAATCTCAAGAAAATAGAAGTCGTGGGACGTTTGGCAGTACATTGAACAATATTATTTACAGGTTTTAATGGGGAAACGGACAATTCCCCCGATTCTAATTCCCCCGCCTCTATTCCCCCCGCTCTAAAATCCCCAATCCTAAAATCCCCGATTTTTAAAATCCCCGACGTTTATTCCCCCCGGTGTCTAATTGCCCCGAAATAAAAATCCCCAAAAATGCAAAATCCCCAAATATACAAAATATCACCAAAAATGAAAAAAATTTGGCCAAAATCGGATTATTTTCGTATGCTGTGGTGTTTTAAGTTTTCTGAAGGTAAGAAAAGACCTTCCAGGTGGGCTGAGGCAAAGTTGGGATTAATCCAAGAAAAAGCCCATTGCTTAGCATAGGATTTCTTTCATTTTCCCACAAAATTTTTCTGTGCAAAAAGAAAAAAAATTGGATTTTTACCCAACTTCATCCTCAAATCCCTTTTTCTACCCTGAGGTGAGCAAAAGAAGAGGGATGCCAACCTGAAGAATCTGTGTCAATTGTTCAACAGGCACTAAATTAGTCTGGAAAAAATTTTGAAGGAAACAGCTAAAGCAGTGAAACTGAGATACAATTAATAATTTTTTTATTGCTGATGCGGCTTTTTTTCATTTTTTGTTTTTTTCAATTTTTCATTTTTTGTTTCATTTTTTCATTTTTACGTTATTTTAATTGTTATTCAATTATACTTATTAAATTCAATTTTCGTCACTCAGAAATAAGAAAAACAATTGTCCAACCATCAGTTTTTTATTTTTGGGGGAAATTGTACATCCGGATTTTAAAAATTGGGCATTTTAATTTAGGGGATTTTTGTGACCAGGGATTTTAAAATCGGGGATTATTATTCGGGGGAAATAGAGGCGGGGGAATTAGAATCGGGGGAATTGTCCTACACCCATTATTGTACTGTGGGACTGGGACCCAAAATATTTTTGTCTATGACCAAATGACTTCTTTTAGATATAGTTGAATCTTGAAAACTCAAACATTCTCAAGTTAGATACCTCCCCAATTTTTTAGACCCTGTGTAAATTCCCTCAGAAATAATTGAAAACCTTCGCAACTCTAAGGCTTTCCTCATCAAGCCGCCATTTAACTTGAACTTTCTGGAGATATTTTGGCTATTATTTTACTGACCCAGGAAAGCAAAGAACAATAAAAATGTAACTTGATGTGTTTTGAAAGAAGTGAAAGATGAAGTAGGCAAATGAACTCTTGCTTCAAAGTTCAGCATCCTGTCAACAATATGATGTCAACCTTCTTTCTTTTCCCCCCAACAAAAATGCTTGTTTCCCTTCTAACTCATTTTGTTGTTGCTGCTGGTCCCTTGAAGTTCAAATTCAAGTTTGACTGTGTTTGAAAATCATGAAATATGCAGATTGATAATATGTTGACAAGTCTTTGTCCTCCTGTCTGTGCAATTAAAAATAACTATAGGTTTTGCATTATGCTATCATGCAATAGTTGCTGTACCTAAATATTACTCAAATAATAGCACCAACATTAAGGTTAAATATTGTTGGCTAGGTTGTTTAGACCTGCTCTGGTGACACCTACCTAACAATTCTGGAAGATAACCTGTCTACCTGTAGCAGGTAAATAACCTACCTGCTATACATTGAAGTGCAGAGGTTCCTTTTTTTTTTACCTAATGACTAGCTACTTTTCAAAAGGAGATACAAGATAAAACTTGGTGGAGTTGCAGCACAGTTTCACCAGTGTGAAATGGATTGTGCCTTGAATGCTATTTGGTAGAACAGTGAGAAATACTTTTGTGGTTGTGGTTAACAAACAAAATCCATTTCATGGCAAAGTTTTTAAGCTGGATTTTGGTTTTCAAGAACAGTAGTAATGCATCACAAAAGAAAGAAATTGGAAACCAATGTGCAATAGCTGGATTAGTGTTGATTATCAAGGTAGATAAGGTACAAATACAATGTTAGTGAGATGCAATGATTATTAGCAGAGGTGTTTACAAAGAAAGACCCCACTTTATGAGGTACTTGGTGCTTTTAAAATCAACCATTTGTCTGAAATTTTGTTTGATGTAAGCTTGGTGTTACCTGTTGTGTTATATCTCCATAGTTTTCTGACTAGGTCATCTTGCATTTGGTTGTTTTAATGGTTCAGTGAACACCTGACAGCTGTTCAAAGATGTTGCAAATCGTATTGGTGGATGTTCTCTGAGTTTCACCTGCAAATGATTTTCAGCATCATCTTCTGGTTGCTTGAACCTAGTGGAACATTGCTTGAACCTTGTGAATGCTGAAAGTGGGAAAATAAAGCTTGCTGTTCAATTCAATTCAATTCAATGATTTCATTATACAATTGGAACTTGCTGAGTCAAACTTCCCTAAGAAAGAAATCTCCCTTTGTTAATTATTTGTTAAGTTAGCATTTGCATTCCCAAAGAACAATGCAATAAAGATCTCCCTGACTCAAAATATTACCTCCTTGAACATCTATGACTTAAATCTTTAGGTTTTTTTTGGGGTATTATTCAGGGCACTCAGGAAGAAGAGTAGGACTAAAAGTGTAACTTGATGCTTTTCAAGATGAAAAAAAGAGACTAACTGGAAAATTCACCTTTGCCTCCAAATTCAGCATTCTGTCAGTTCATTTACAACGCAATTTGAGGCCCTGAATATCACCAATTTTACCTTCCTGCAATTCTTAATTTTTACTTCAGGAAAAATGCTGATCTCTCTAAATTGATAATTCCCCAATTTGAAATGTTTGCTGGTCCCTCTGACTTCGACTTTGACTTCGAAGTTACTTGACTGTGTAGCAATAAATTCATGTTAGTTGTAGGAAGGGCAACAGAAGTGCTGTGCTTCATTCAAGCCAAAGTAAGCATGTGAAGAATTATATTTTATTGAATTTCTGAAAGCACTTGGGAAATTTTCAGTGAAGTATCTGAACTCAATGAAAACTTTATACTTTGATATCCAAAAAAAGAAGCCGTTGCTAGTGACCGTAGTAAAATGTATCTGTTTCCGAATACAGCACTGTACTGTTTTTTTTTTATAAGACAGGAAGTTAAAAGTTCTGAAAGGGATCTTCGGCTTCCACGTCAACTAGGCATTGCAGGGTTAAACTGGCTGGCTTCAAGTTGCTTGCGATAAGAAGCCAGTCCCATGGGGTTTCAGCGAGTTCAAAAGGTCTGATTAACATGTGTTCGCTTTGGCCATGCATAGCATACAAAATAGAATGAAAACGAATGCATTTTTGCATTGAATTTTTTTTCGGATGTCCACCGGTAAAATACTACATTCATTTCATACTATCTTGTGGCATTTCAGCAAATGCTATTTTTTTCGCATATCGAGGATGGTGTCGCGTTTTGCATTTCGAAGATGCTTTGGCCACTATTTTCCGGTTTTAATGGTCCCTTTCATACTGTTCGTGAAAAATTTGCGTCGAACATTTAAAGACTTCGAAGATATTTGAAGATCCTTCATGAACTGGGCGCGTGCTAACACTAAGATTATGTAGTGGAATGCCAATCATATACTGTACTGTAGTAATGATCACCAGCAGCTTCTCGCGTTTAAAAATTAAAATTTCAATTTTAAATGGTCCTGAACTTATGAATATTGGTATCGACGGCGGTATTCTTGACAAGATTTTCTTCCTTTCGAACATGGTTTTTGGAGGAAGTCTAGTTGGAATAACTGAACTTGAAAGTATGAGCTTAGAAAGGCTAGCTAATCTAATTTGAAATAATTCAGGCGACACCTGTGTGATGACACAGAAAATCATGAAAATCAAGGAGTTGCGGACGTCATGCGTTAAAGCGAGGAAGAGAACGCGGAACACTGTAACGGAGC